TAATAAGTGGTTTTTAGACAAAACATTTTGGATTAAACCATGGTCAAGTACTTATTAAGGTTCTCATCATCTTTTTAGGTATAGAAAACTCATGAAATAAGTTAACCAGTTTTCTTGAAGCATGCTTTTTAATGTGATCATATAACGCAGTCTTATTGGCACCACAAATTATTATTAATGGCCTAGACAAAATTCTGGAAATTAACACTAGCGTTGAAAAAAATTTTATCTCAATAACTTATATTTTTTGTTGGCTCAAGTATAACGTAAAATGGAAATCTACCAAACTTGTAGTGTTTCTATAGTATTATTATTAATATAAACCAGTGACGTGTACTGTTCCAGTATGGCACTGTGACATATCAATCTGTCCTCGCGTCATGTTTTCTTCATATCTGAGCGAATTACGGGCAACAAACGTCATATGCAAGGGGGTTTTGTGAACAAGAACGCCGGACCCACACGCATTCGAACCTCTGCCCGACTGAATGTTAGACCGTAAGTTTAGCCAATAGACCACATCAGACTGTTGGGGAAATGACAACACTATTTCCTTACACCGATTAGTCATTCATGATACTAATGAGTAATAGGACTTACATACTTCTTCGGTGCAGACCAATTTGTTACCTGGATGAATTGATGAAATATTGCCTCGATATATCACGCAAACCTACATCAAACCAGAAAAGGGTTTTTGACACAAATGCATTTGATCCTCGTACTCTACGTATTTTTTTCCTCTTTAACCGTATATTCTTTTCCGTTATGTGGAGTACTGTTATGCACCCTTGGGGCAACGCTTCAGGGGTATCGTCCACTGATGGAGGTTGCGAGCACTTGTAGGTCAAACTGTCGCAAGATGATTGGTGCGTCACATCGACAATTTGTGAAAATTTTCAGAAGCGGTCAAATCAAAAGACTTTAGATTTGAATTGAGTTCAGCCCATGTTATTCCTTTTCTAGTATGCTCATGTGAATGTCCAGTCTTCTCTTGAAAGAGTCAATTGAAGGTGCGGAACCACTGCTTTAAGCAGCAGGTTCCAGGTATTGATGACTCGGTGTGAAAACCTGTATGCCACGGGTATTTTGTTCGTTCTTGGCTTTTCTACTCGCCTGCTATGTCCTCTGAGGTGCCCGATCTAGTGGGAAGGAAGAGAGAGAATAAGTTAGGTCCAAAATCATTTCTCAGTATTCTGTACATCAAAATTAAATCTCCCCTTAGTCTGCGATAGGACAGAGTAAAGAGCTTCAGTTTTTCAAGCCGCTCTTTATATGATAAACCCCGGAGTTCCGGAATTGCACGCGTAGCTGCCCTCTGTACTTCTTCTAGTATGTCTGAGTCACCTTTTAAACAGGGGCTTGCAGCCTGAACACAGTTCTCTAACTTAGTTCTCACTAAGGATGTGTATAATGTGGTGAACATGGTAGTATCAAACTTAGTGAATGTCCTTTTTAAAGCCCAGAGGGTTCGAAACCCCTTAACTGCGACCTCCCGGCAATGAGCCGTCGTCTTAAGATCATTGCTCACTGTCACCCCTAGGTCCTTATGAGACCGGACTACGGGTAATGACGCATCCCCTATGTTGTACGTATTAACCTTTGAATCCCCCAAGTGCATGTAGACACACTTTTCCGAGTTGACAGGCATCAGCCACTCTTTAGACCAGGTTATCATATGATTTAAGTCCGCCTGAAGAGTAAATGCGTCTTTGTCTCCAGTTATTACTCGCCAAATTTTTACATCGTCAGCGTATAATAACATTGGAGACTGTACTATACTTGTAAGATAATTAACGTACATTGTAAAAAGTAAAGGACCTAGGACGGAACCTTGGGGTACTCCACTAAGTACTGGTCTCCAGGTGGAGCACTTGGGATTTGTTCTTACTTTTTGTCTACAACCTACTAGGAAATCTTTAATCCATTTTAAAAAAGGTCTGGCAATACCAAGGTTTGCCAACTCCAATAGCAGTCTATTAGTTGGCACCTTGTCAAAAGCCTTACTGAAGTCTATGTAGACAACATCCACTGAGTTTCCGTTGTCTAGCGCATTAATCCAGAGCTCCCTAGCTATAAGGAGGTTCGTTGTACAGGATGGACCCTTTCTAAAACCATGTTGTGCCGTGTTCAGCAAGTTATTGGTTTCCATAAATGCTGTTATGGTCCGTTTGATTATTCTTTCCAGTATTTTAATTACAACACTGGTGAGGCTTACGGGTCTGTAATTTGATGGAACTTGTCGTAGACCTGTTTTATGTATAGGAGTGACGATTGCATCCTTCCAGTCCATAGGTAACACACCTTGGTCAAGTGACATTTTGAATATCACAGTCAGTGGGGCTGCGATATATTGGGCAATATGTCTCAAGATTTTGGGGTGTAGTTCATCTGGTCCTGTTGACTTCTCCATGTTTAGGGTGCTAAGAGCCTTAAGCGCATCTTTTTGGTCGAAGTCCACGGTGAGCAGCTGGTTTGTTGACTCTATATTTGGGTCTGGTTCTTTCTCTAGAGGAGGTTCCTGAGTGAAAACTGCCCCAAAATAGTCAGCCATAACCTCTGCTTTTTCCTGATCTTCCTCTATCATTTCAGATTTACTTCCTACTTTAATTAGGTTGGGAATCCAATGATGCATCCTTGGTCTGTAGTTTATGTAATAGAACAAATCAATGATATCATGTTATCTCGAAGATTTACAAGTTGGGACAATTTTGAGACCTGTTTGAAAGAAGTACATAAGGTAATATGACTTCTGTGGTTAATAATTATGTTTTTAGTATACGCATACTAAGTATGCTATGTCAGTATACAAAAAGAACAATGGTGATCCAACTCTAAAGTACTTTCTTGTGAGATATGTCTGTACATATGACGTAAACGCAGTTCGTCAGAGTCAGATGCTTGCGTTCAGGATGTAGATGATGATAGTAATCATCATTCTTCTGAAGAGAGTACAACTTCTAACTCGCCAACACAACCTAGGCAAAGGAGACGACGTCGGTCAGCTACGTATACCTTACTTCAAACGAATTTATCCTTCAGGTCGAAATATTGCGATTGTCAATCTGGATTTTGAGCCCGGACAGTAAATGGTGAGTTGAAACTCACCTTTGTTAAAACTGTGTACAACCGTCCTTGCACAAGGATATATTTCTGTCGATTCATCGAGACGACAGTTGACGTCAAGTGAACGCTTGTATTTAAGGACGTTTCTACTGAGTAATACACCAACTCGTAACTTACGGTATATGGTTTCTTGGAAGTTCCATAAACAGCTTACCAAGGACGATATCGCCAAAATGCGTTCACAGTTGTATCCAAGTTGTTGGACTCACATTGTAATTAATTGAGTTTAGACACTAAAAATATCAATGACATCTTACAGCATGTTCAAGCAAACACTGAGGTAAAAGTATTCAATGAAAATGGGAACATATCCATGATTTGCTTCAGCCGCAAGGAGCAAATATCTGTTTACCACGCGTTCCTGGAGGTAATATGCATTGATTCGACTTATCAGACCAACAAAGTTGGGTAAGTAACGATTAGTAATAAATTTATCTGAAAGTTTTCCACTGTTTCAGCTAGTGGTGACTGATAGTCCTGGGCAAAGTCACACTGTTATGTATGCTCTTTGCAGTCAAAAACGATGCGAAGATGTCGAAAAACTATTGGAATGCTTTAAAGAGATAATGTGCGGTACTTATGATACACGCACTTTCATAATGGATTCGGCAGCGACCGACCTTTCAGCTGTGCAGTCTACGCACAGTCATCCTAACATAATACTTTGTTCACTCCATGTCTTAAGAGCATTTTTCAGGAAGGTATGTGTTAGCTGTACAAATTATTTTCTGTAGATTTACATCACCGTTTGACATTAGTGGACGATTATAACGAAACGGAAAAGCACGGGTAGCTCTGGGTGTGAGCTACTTATATTCATATAGTATATAACGTGCGTTAAAAGAATAATGTCCGAAGCAGAAGATGGCGAAGATCAAGAAAGGAAGAGCAAGAGCACATGGAATTGTAAGAAAACGCCATGTAAATGGAATGGGAGACAATGGATTAGTGTTTGCAACGGAAACAGTACAGTTTCATATGATGGAATGATATTTTGCAAATGACGATTGACTTTATGGTATTCACATTATTGAGACAGTCTGTAAGTTTGTGCTAAATACAGTCGATTGTCCCCACGTGTTCTTGTTCACTACAGTCATTTGGTTCAAAAATGAGAGTTGTTTGAAGGTGTATCATATGGTATCACTAGGGGTAGGATCTAGTGTCTATAAGACTCGCATGCGCCTAACTTTCAAACCACTGAGTTGGCATTTGAGTCGGGTACGATTCTTGGTGTTGTGATGGACATTACTAAGTTCCATGTAGTATGAAACAAATGTCAAGTACTTGATGTAAACAATAGATTCCGAGTTACTAGTATAGTCACATTGCTTATATATACTATATATATATATATATATATGCTGACCCAGATATAGACAGACAAATGAATTATTAATTCACGTGAGATAGCATCCCGACGCTTTCGTTTTGTGTGTGAACTCTTCCAGCCTATCAATATGTTGTTGATTAAATGCTACATGAGAATGGCTAGACCACCAGTGACATCTCTCTTCAACTTCAAAGACGAATGATGATGAATCGAGTTATCGAAGAAGATCGAGTTTCAACGAATACGCATGCACAATACCTCCTTGTTGAAGGACAATATCGGATATGAAGTTTTAAATTTATTCAAACAATTAACTCAAAGTAGTAGTACAAAGTACGGTCATATAAACAAAAAGCTAACATACAATAAACTTGGAAGTTACATAACCATCAACGCTAATAAGTAAACATAATCTTTGGTTTTAGATAAATAAAACGTTACTCTATACAGGGCCATAAATATAACACCTTAATGTATAGATAAATCTTATAGAAAACTTAAAATTCATACCAGCTGTTTGATTTATAATATAATTTATTATTTAGCCATTTAAACACGTTATTATCGTCTTTAAGTATATAGCTTTATTGATGGGAACTTCAAACTGTCGAACAAGAAAATATGATTAAATTACCCGTTCGCAATAAATTTTCGGAGCTGTGAGAACATAAAACTGATTCCTTTCCTACTTATATCTTAAACATAAATATCATTATTAAAAATCATTTATTTTTACAAACACCTACTTACCTTAGATGTGATAGATTTTTCCATTGAATTAGATAGATTATTCTTACCAAATACAATTTTAAAATTTAATAATTCTTGCAACTGACCGATTCTAGCCTCTAAAAGTCGATTGTGATCGAGTAGAGTTGACAGACCGGATAAATAATCCGAAACATAATTTTCACGTTGTAAATCGTATTTAGGCAAACGCCATTCCCAATGTAAATAAAGATCACGCCATAAACTGTTGCAATGAAATGAATAAAAACAAGAATATATGTTTAAAAATCTAAGTCTACAAATTGATGGTGTAATTCGATTGCTTGATTTATGACGAATCAAGTGTTTCGGCTGATCAGTGAGCTACTTTATGCTAAAAGTTAGCACACTAACAAAATTGATAATAATGTCTAGTTTGATAAGTAATCATAAATAAATTGGAATAGTTAATTGAAGGTTATATATATATATATATATATATATATCTGTTGATTGATTGAGTAACGAAAGCATGATAATTCAGTAAGACTTTTTACTCTGTACGGAACAACTACATTATTTCATATAAATAGGACAGAAAGGTGAATATTTTCTAAGTGAAAGATTTCGCTAACTGACGCCAAGAAATAAGATGGTAAAATTCTCTAATTGCGCATAGACTAAGGCGAGTCAATGACATTAAACTACATGTAGAGATAGAATTTCCTACAAGTCATTCCATTATTTCAAGAAAAACACAATAAAATGATAAGTAAATAAATATATTTGTAATATCCTAATGAGTAGAGAATATTCTCTGAAGAAGTGGATTACACTAAGTCACAAAACGTCAAAAAATCAAATTTTTCTACTCATTGGAATATTACAAATATATTAATTTATTTCTAACAATCTACCCGATGCTTAATTCGTTCGAAATTATCAAGTCAAACCTTGGAAATGATACCTACAATAACATAATGTTTTTCAGCACATAAAAAATTCAATTAATTGAAATTACAAAATACAGATGATTATTTAGTTAGTTGAAACGTAGGACCTGGTACGTATGTAATAGGTATCGAAAATACGATTCAAGAAGAAAATATAAATTAGTGAAATAAAAACAAAATTTGAGGGGAGACAAAGAATGGATGCATCTGCGCCATGCCATCCAAAGTCTCTACCACTGGTTATGATAATCATGTGGACCGTGAAAAACTGGTCTACCCCTGTTAACATGGTTCAGTTCGTTTGCCAATGACTTCAATGATTGATTCTACGTCTCGATTTGGGCACTCCTAGCTTTTACCCAAATCCTACACCAGACATCATCCGTCGAAATAGGCGGTAGTTGAACATATGTAGCACATGTCCCAACTATCTCAGTCGACGAAGATCTACTAACTTATCAACCAATTTACCATCCTTACCTAAAATCCTATTCCTAACCCGGACATTGTTTGCTAGGTAGTCCCCAAAATACACGAGAATGATTCGAAAATATATGTAATCGAATACTAGTAATCTACGATTACCCTCACGTCTTTATGGCCATGAATCAGATCAATAAGTTAGAACCGATCAAACTCATTTGATTGGTAGAGCGATATTTCACATACACCCCAAGTGATGCAATTTAGCAAAACTAATCGAGCCTTCTGAATTTATGTCAAGATAACGTCTGTGGCTGAATGCCAGTTGAACTGTAACATAAAGTGTCCTGCCGATCAGCTCAATCTCCTGGATTAAGGGTGAATAACAGTCCCAGCATTATATGAGATTGTCTCACAAACAGCCGGATTTTTAATACCCGTTTCCTTGATAAGTCTGAACAGTTGTCTACGATTACCTATCGTCGCTGCTTTTTCAATTTCTTCTGCATTCGCCACCCACCACTGCTCACGATCATTACGTAAGCTTTTGATCAACCTACGCTTAATCGGCCTCTGCTTCTCATCGTGTTTGGAGTCAGATAGGATGAATTCCCGAGCATCTGTGAGCTCATTAGGCGCAGCAGAAATCCACTTTTTTTTCATAACTTTTTGGTTAAAGTCACTAGTAAATATCACTACTGCTTCCACAGCTATTCGGACATCATACTAAGTTACCTCGGGGTGAATATCACTGTCATGGTTTACTAGTTCCTTCTCTAGTTGTTCCTGAAATATATTTTTGACTTATTCATTGTTAAGTTGAACTCTAAGGGGTTTTCTTGGTATGGCTTTTCTAAGTCCAGGACGACGCAGACAAACACATGCCCGAAGTAGAGCACGATTCTAGTATAAACATGTACTCCAGAATGAGCGACAGTTTCCTATCGAGTTTTTTCAACGATGGCAATATGGTCTATTTGAGTCCATCGATGAGTCGATTGTAGAGGTCGCCGCGCCAGATGATGTTCTTCCTTATGCTTAAAGTTGGTGTTTGTCAGAAATAGACGGTTATCTGAACACAGTTGCAACAGACGGTCACCAATATCTGTTCGTTGAGCTGAGACACCGTAAAATCCGCTCACGTGCCTTTCAATTTGGCTTGGTTTACCTACTTGGGCAATAAAATCACCGGTAACCATTGCTATATCAGTGCGCCTAGCTCTTTGAAGGAGGTTGGATAGATTTCCTATAAAATTTATCTTTGACGTCGTCCGAGCTGCAATCGATGGGAGATAAGGCAAAGACAACGAAGAGGCAACGGCGTGTGCTCCTAAATTTCTGAGTAGTCGAACAGCACACAAGCGACTGTCTAGTGAAATTCAGTCTAGGAGAGCCTGTTCCGCTTTTGAAATTAAGGCTATACCCGAACCAGTGAGGCCACTTGACGTAGCCGTGTGGATTTCAGATACACAAAAGGTAAATCGTGCCAGTTCTTTACATTGACAAAGTAAGATCCGAGAATGAATGTACTTGGACCCCGTGTGTGTTTTGGAGACCCAGCATACATTGATGGCGTGAGGTTCTAGAGTCCAAGCTAAAGAAATCTACTATCCTATCTGACAAAAGGTTCGAAAATTAAAATCTCACACATGCAGTTTAGAGTATGGTTTCAAGATACCAGGGATAAGATTTCGTGAACTCAAATCATTAACATTGGTGGTGCGTGGTGATAGATATGTGAGTAGGGTTAGGAAAACAATTGACAGGTGATGGGTCGATTTGATCATAAACAAGATCATCTCGGGCGCCCCCAAATGCACTGGTACGGTAGAGAATGGGGAAGGACCTCCCTCCCATTCTCTCTCTCACTGCCTTCTAACACCGGGGGAGCTGTTTATGAAACTGCGAGGACGGAAAGCGAATGTCCGGCGTTTTGACCAGGTTAGTGCATATGGAGGATCCACCTGGAGGGTTATAATTCAGATAACGCATATCCATTTGATAACATTCATTTTTATGCTTTTATATACTATGACACATAGATAATCCATTTTATTCCCACTCTGTCTATCCTTACTTTTCGACTTAGACAGCAGCTCGTCTATAGTGGAAATTCGACTCTATCTAAACGTTCTGGAGTCACTGCCTGGTTGAAAATTGAATGCTACCACCAAATACGAATACTAAAACAGCTTTTCTGAAACTACGTGCATCATTCAAACTGGCTGCCTTCAACGTTCGCACACTTATGTAGGTCGGACAACAAATAGGGCTGACTATGTCTTTAGAAAGTCTTAACATTGATGATTGCTGTCTATCCGAGACCCGTATTCAAGACTCTGGTGAAGTACTACAAATTCGCTCTTCATCTGTCGCTTCGAAAAGCTTGTTTTACGTGCGTTTATCCGGAGACCCTGTGGCATCTTCGTCTGGTCTTGCTGGCGTTGGTGTCGCACTAAACGCTAGTGCTGAGGTAGCACTAATAGATTGGACCCCCATTAGCAGTCGGTTATGTGCTGTTAGAATAGAAAGTTCCATCAAAGTGAGAAGAAATCGGCGGGAGAAACGATGTCTTCTCGTCATCTCCATGTATGCCTCGACAAATTGCAGCCCGGATGCAATCAACGATGAATTCCACCACCAATTATCTGTTCTTCTGCAGAAAGTGCGTTCGACAGATATTGTAGTACTAGCCGGAGACTTGAATGCTCAGGTCGGGCGTCTAGGCACAGAATAGAGTCGTTTAGGTGGCCGATGGGGACTTCTTGGTCGCAGGACAGATAACGGGGACTGTCTACTGCAACTGTGCACAGTCCCGCCTATAAGCACTGGGTTTCTTCAGGCTCCTTACGACTCATCGAAGCCCATCGGTCTACACCAGGTGACCGTGAGTCTGATCACAAACGGTGATCGTCTACTGCAATTGTGCATAGACCACAACATATTTCTGGCTAGCACTAACTTCCGGCACAGTCATCGCCGATGTGCCACATGGCATCCTTCCTCTGCATCTCTAGCCTGGACTCAGATTGATCACATCGCGATCAGCTACCGCTGACGTGGTTCTGTACAAGACTGCCGCTCCTTTTGGAGTACCTATCTGGACTCTGACCATGCCTTGGTCTGCGCCAATCTTACCTTACTTCTCAGTGGCCAACGAAGTGACCACCATCAACGGATTGATGTCAGCAAGTTGGTTGCAACTCCTGTTGTTAGTAAGTATTGAACCGAGCTAGCTTCTAGGCTGGCTACCACTCCACGGAAAAGTATAGATGAGCATTGGTTGCGACTTCATGACGCCATGAAAATGGCGGGTAAGTCGCTTGCGGTTTCGCATAAGGTCTCGCTTATAAGCACGGAGTTTCTTCAGGCTCCTTACAGCTCATTGAAGCCCGTCAGTCTACTCCGGGTGATTGTGAGTTTGACCACAAATGGCGGTGTGGATCTGTTGCCTGGAGAAAGAATTAATGACCTTCAGTACGCGAATGATATTGCCTTATTGTGCGATAATGCCCAAGTCATGCAATCCTCACTTAATCAGTTGGCAATCAGTGTCCGTAGGAATGGTATGTGCTTTGCACCTCCGAAGTGCAAAGTACTTCTACAAGACTGGCAGGATTCTAATCCTGTACTCACCCTGGATGGTGAGCAGATAGAAGCAGTCGAGAAGTTCGTGTATATAGGTAGTTGCATAAGTGCTGGTGGTGGCGTGAGTGATGAGATCAATGCACGTATAGTGAAAGCCAGAGCGGCTTATGCCAATCCGTGCCATCTTTGGCTCCTTCGTGATTTAAGTCTGACTAAAAAAGTTCGGATCTACAACGCGTCGGTGAGAGCAGTTCTGCTCTATGCTTGTGAAACCTGGCCTCTCCGAGTTGAGGATGTTAGACGACTCTGTGTTTGATCATCGTTGTCTCCGAAGAATTGCTGGCATCCAGTAGCAACACCATGTTAGTAATCCAGAGGTCCGGTATCGTGTGTTCGGGCACAGAAATGATAATGCAATCGATGTCACCATCTTGAAACACCGACTTCAGTGGCTTGGACATGGTCTACGAATGTCGTCCCAGAGAATTCCACGTCGTGCATTATTTGCCGACTCTGGGACTGGTTGGAAAATTCGGAGAGGTGGGCAGTGTATGACATGGTGTCGTGGTATGAAAGAAACCTGCAAAGGGCTGGCTTGTGTTGGTCCTTCACGACTCCCTGGTTGGAGTCTGAGAGATTGTGCGACACAGTGGCTAGAGACGTTATCAGATATGGCTCAGAATAGAAGCCAGTGGCGATCCTGCTGTAATCTTCTTTTACTTTCTTCATAAGAAGTGGTTGTAACTTCCTTAACTGAAAAACTTCTTCTGGTTGTACCTTTCCGTTTCCCACACTATTATTATTATTATTATTATTATTATTATTATTATTATTATTATTATTATTATTTCACTACCATACACTAATCTGTAGTCGTTATTGTTCCTTTTTTCTGATACGCACCTTACATTCTTTTTCTCGTCCCATTCTCATTGTTTTGTGTGGCGCATATATATCTGGTGCCCCCTTCTATCAATATTTATGTGTTCAAATAATTAATTAGAAATAAATGATCTCAGGTGCCAATAGAGGTATGAAGGCGGTTGTCACTTTCCGGCTGCCGATACCGCAGAAGGATTTTTGCCTTAAGGGACCTGAAAATAAAGCTGAATTAGTTGTATTTTCATCGACCTGGTAGCGTGAACGCAGAGCCCAAACGATAACTTCTTGAGGCCGGTCACGCACGACCTTTTTGATGTTTTAGCTTCGCACTTTAAAAGATCTTAACTTTGGAGAAGGAATTCCACATGGTAAGGTGTGACATTTTTAAGGTCGAGGTTTTCTAGCCTCTGCTTTCCGTTGTGAGAAGGCAGTATCGCTGCAGATGCTGGTTGTACGGGATGAGATATAGACTGCTGATATGTCTAATTTTTTTGGAATATATATATATATATACCTGAGCGACAACTGTGTTTTAAACCATCCGTTATATCAGTAGCCGTGCTTGATATAGAAAATGTGTATCAGTATCAACTGTCGGACAGCGCACGATACAACAGCATGCTCATTGTTATTGCTATTATTATTATATTTATTATTGAAACTTTCTTTGATTTTGATCTCATTCATTTCATTTCTATCTCTCACACACAAAATAAACTTAGAAGGAACATATACATTGAACAATTGTCAGAAGCTTTTCCAGCTTATACGAGCTACTATCAGTTAAACACACTATGAGATTACATGCAAATGCCAGCTAACAGTAGTCTTCAAAGTAGACTTCACAGAGCATTCTGGAAGAAATTTATTGGCTGGTCAGTTGCTTTAACACAACTTCGGTCAAAGAAATTATTTTGCTTACATTATCACTTAGAATGAAAAAAAACCACAAAATATCTTGGCTGCTAATAGGAATGAATAAACAGCTTGTTACCTACCGAAATAAAGGTGCACATAGAATATATACAGGTAGTATATCCGCTGCATATCGACTATTCCCTTTACCATCACTAATCAACTCAATTCCAACAGTAATTAATTCATCGGTTTCAAAATGAGATGATATATTGTATTTGTAGTTACCCCTGCCACCCCCGTCAATAGAAAAATCGATCCATACAGAATTATGTTCATAGAATGGATTAATCCATCTGTCACGATATCGATTTAAATAACCCCATAAAGAGTAAGTGTTTTGTTGAACTCTACAATAAAAAAATATTATAACCTACGTCGATAATCCAGAGAGAAAAAACAAACATTTAACTGAACTGAACTTTGTGAATACAGACAACTCATATTTAACTGTTTGATCAAGAATCAGATATCAATTGACACAATTACGTTGACACGAAGTGCAGTGGTGGGAGTTGAGGTCATCTACAACCTAGTAGAAGCTTCCACAGATAATACGAGATAGTCAAGTTAAAATATGTAACAAAAGCTGCAAAACTGAGGTGATTCGAGTAGATTCTCACTTCTACATGGTTGACACCCGTGGGACAATCAGAATCAATAGTTGAAGACGCTTGGTGGTAAGGTCTGAAATTGGTTACAGTAATGCAAATCTATTAAGTCTATGTTTTAAACTGGATATCGAGAGTTACTACTGTGGAGTATACTATTCATGTCAACAGACATAAGTAGTATGCAACACCAATCACAAGTGGAATGCCTGGAAACAGAAGGTTGAGAAGATCGAATTGAAGAGAACAGAAAGGGATTGTAATAACAAATAGAATGAAGGAACGACGATGTTTGTAAGAGACAATTGATGGAAGATGTGCAAACTGTGTATTTAATATATGGTTTTCATATTTTAGGAAGACATTCTGTAATATAGAAATAAACAGTAAATTGGTATTACCCACCTGACTTCTCGTTCACTACACTATTACTCCATACTTACAACTAAATGATAACTGAGTAGTGACCAACGTAAAATCCTTTTTAGTGTTAATCGAATTCTATTGATCAAAATTGTAAATGCATCCCAGTCCTACAGTTCAGTCACGACCCGAGTTCAGTGGTAACGTCGTTGACTATGAAGCTAGAAGTGACAGGATAGAATTCCCCAACCAGCATCGTTCCCCTTGAAATTACAGGTACACCATTACGACGAGTGTCGAATAGAACGAAACCTAGGTCAAACGGATTTTGTCGACTATTTCCAACCACCAACCTACATTTCAGAATTTTTTACCCCATGAATGCATTCATTCTTTCTAAACTATATTTTTTATAACAACTGGTCTTTTTCACAACCATAGACAGTATCACTAATAATACGACTAGTTTATCAAGTGTTTAGTTCATTTATATCTCTTTACGCTGATGCAACTATGCCAAATTGAACGGAGGCATACATCAGTGTCAGATGCTAGATAGACCATGGCGACTTAATAATAAACAACTTATGAGTGGTAGTCGCTGCGTTAGACACCCAATAATTAGGTCGCAGCTTTGGGCTCTCATCTCATCCTGCTCCAGTTTAGACTACCGGATGATAGTAGGATCACCAGCACCAGACACTTGTAGTGTAACTTGAAGTTAAGTACAAAAATCTGTACATGGTAAATGAGTTTTAAAAATCGGAGACAAAACAACTAACTTTAAATTGACTCTTTCTTTTTCACTACATCCAATAAATGTTCCATAAACGGCTGAATAAATTTGATCATGTAAATACTTTAGTAATTTAATATTATATTCAAATTTAGTTGGGCAGATTTCTAGCAAATGTCGTAAGCAATCAAGAAATTGTGTAAATATTGGGGAGATTTCACGGGAATCAGCACCTGACACTAAACCACATCGTTCAGTGAATTTGTAACCGAATTGTATCCAGTCTTTTTCAATTAAAGCCTAACAAGATAAAGTTATATGATATATATTATATATATATATATATATATATATATATATATATATATATATATATATATATATATATATATTAACCTACTTACGCCTGTTACTCCTAATGGAGCATAGACCGCCGACCAGCATTCTCCAACCCACCCTGTCCTGGGCCTCCCTTTCTAATTCCATCCAATTCTTGTTCATTTTTCTCATGTCTATCTCTATTTCCCGGCGTAATGTGTTCTTTGGTCTTCCTCTTCTCATTTAGCCTTGAGGATTCTATATGAGGGCTTGCCTTGTGATGCAGTTGGGTGATTTCCTCATTGTGTCCTATCCACTTCCAGCGCTTCTTCCTGATTTCGTCCTCTGTTGAGATCTGGTTATTTCTCTCCTACAGTAGATTGTTGTCGATAGTGTCTGGCCAATGGATCCGAAGTATTTTGCGTAGACAGCTATTAATAAACACTTGTATCTTCTGGATGATGGCCTTTGTAGTTCTCCAAGTTTCCGCCCCATACAGTAGAACTGTCTTGATATTTGTATTGAAAATTTTGACTTTGGTGTTGGTTGACAGTTGTTTTAACTTCCAGATGTTCTTCAGTCGTAAATATGCTGTTCTTGCTTTTCCGATCCTCACCTTCACATCTGCATCAGATCCACCATGTTCATCAATGATGCTGCCCGGATATGTAAAGGTTTTTACATCTTCCAAATCTCCTCTGTCAAGTGTGATTCGATTGTTGCATGCTGTGTTGTATTGGAGAATCTTGCATTTCCCTTTGTGTATGTTGAGACCTGCTGCTGCTACACTGGTTGGCTTCTTTTGTATTTGTTGTTGCGTGTGCGATAGAAAAGCCAGATCATCTGCGAAGTCTAGGTCGCCAGCTGTTCACTGTATCCAATGCTTTCCCCTAGATGTTGACGTCTTCATAATTCAGTCGACCACTAGGAGAAAAGGAAAGGGTGATAGTAAGCAACATTACCTGACATCAGTCTTTACTTCGAACGAGTCTGTGAGCTGTTTCTTTAATTAATGGTGGGCCAGAATTGATTGGGAGGTCCGTGGATGCTGCTTCGATGTTCTACCCACCTGTCGCGCTGTTCTTCGATGTTGGTGATCACTTTGCCCTCCTTGCTTCTCACTGGTCGTTCTGGTTTGTCAGTATCCCGAAGAAAGGCCGTATTAAACTTCTCTGATGTTGTCCGCTCCATTCTTGAGTTTCAATTTCATCTTGGCGACCAGCAAGTGATGATCTGATGCTATATTAGCTCCTTTCTTGGTTCTCACATCCTCCATTGTCCTCCTGAACTTTTTTGATGCAGATATGGTCGATTCGGTTCTGTGTAGTGTGATCCGGTGAAGTTCATGTGGTTTCGTGTATGCGTTTGTGTGGGAATATGGTGCTGCCTATGACCAGTTTATTGAAGGCACATAGGTTTGCAAATCTCTCACCATTTTCGTTCCTTTCTCCCGATCCATGTCGTCCCATGATCTCTTCATATATATATATATATATATATATATATATATATATATATATATATATATATATATATATATATATATATATATATGCATATATATATTTATAAAGTGAAAATCACAGAACATTGATAAATTGTCATCAGCCTTATTTAGGACTGTACAAGTATGCATCAATAGTCATAGAAACTGTTGAAATTTTCGTTGCAAATACAGCACGACGATGGATGCCACCTTGACACGATGACCGAGCTTGTATGTGATGATCCAACAGAGTAATGTTGGCTAGGACACTTATTCCCTGAGGACCTGACCATGACAGGAAAATTGGTTTGGGGGGGGGTGAAACTAAAAGCAGCAGTCTTGAGATCCACAAAGAAGTCTTACTGCCAACCGTACTGGGGTGCGACAGTATTTTCGATCAAGAAACGGTTAAGGTTGAGTTTTATTTTGCTTGACTGTTCCTGGTTTCCTATGCCATTCAGTGTAAGATGTCGGGGTAGGTACTATGGTTAGAACATGCGTTACACATACTAACCAATTGACCAATCTATGAAAATCTAGTCCCGTCGAGTGGTTACTCATAGTCTCCTAGAACCTCGCCCTACCTTACCTACAACTCCGGATGTGACTCAACTAATTATTATTACTTTCAGTTTGATAATTTGCTATATAATGTACGTCATTACCTCTTAAATACACCACTATAAAATTAACTGAGACAGCAAACGAATACTTCAAACAAAAAAACTTTCTTCATCAATAAACATACTGAACATGAAAATTAACATGTTTCACGTTGCTGATGGTTCTGATGAGTTACATGATATAGGACAGTTTTTTGGTGTCTTATGGATTTAACTCCCTTCTTGATATTTAAGTTATTTGTACAATACAGGTCAAACAATCTCTACGTATTTACATATCCATTTGTTTTTAACTCACTTGCAACCCTAGAAATGTTCTATAATATGGATCTAATATAATTTGAGCTAGGGCACAAACTTGAGCAGTACGATCCCATCCATCGGAACAATGTACAAGTACAGAATTTCCTTCATCTAATCGTTTTGCGACAAAATAAGCTGCTTCTAATATAGCATGTAAATGTTTCAACCAACCAGATTTATTTAAACCAGAAGTAAATTGTTCCACATTAACTGTTGGATTACAACATACTATATTGAAAAGAAATATAAGAAATGAAAGTGCTAAGTGCAAAATCGTACATTAAATACCTCATTTGCATATCATTCTTCAGTTATCCTTACACACTCCATCATTTTTCTAATGATATTGTTATCGTGATTGATCTCTGTTTTCCCTCCTTTTCTCTTTATTTCAATCTTCTGCTGGTTAACATTCTACTTCCAATTCCGGCTAAATACTACTTATATTTGTCCGCATAAGTAGCGCACACTACACGTGTACCAGCCAAAAACAACCAATTAAAAGGGTAGGGAAACATATATGACACCTCAATTACTTATCAGACTATCTACCAGTTTATCTAGGGAACCCACCGATCAATGTTTCCTTTCATCCATACAACAATAAGAATACTAGCTTTATTCGGTACCACATGTTTGGCTTACGCAGAATTTTTAGCACAAAATCGCAACAAATTTCTTGTTTTTTTTTTAAAAAAATCAGTTGGATTGCAAATAATAGGAAAAAGCAGCATTCCTCAACGCCTGATAAAAACGGTTTTTCTGAGTTGAAGATGTTAAACAACTCTCTATATTAGATCATTGTTGTTTGCGAAAACCTAATATTAAGTGGCAACACTGTTAGTAATACTGAGGTTTGATAGTGTATTCAGGCACACTGACAACAACTCAAGTGATGTCACTATCTTGAAACATTGACTTCGGTGGCCTGGATGTAATACGAGTGGCATCTAAGCGACTTTCACATCGTCCGACACTTGCCAACGATAGGACGGTATAGAAAATGTAGAGAAGTGGTCACTTTATGACATGTCACCGTGGTGCCAATAGATGCTCTACAGAACCGGATTCCGTCGACTTATCATGACTACCTGGTTTGGGTTCGATAAATGGTGCAACTCGAAGGCTTAAGGCGTTATTAAACATGGCTTAGAACGGAAACTAATGGCAATCATGAAGCACTTTTCTTTTATACTCAAATGTGAGCACCACTACTCTAACTGAATTGTCTCGTTTTTATTGTTAACCAAACTGCTTCACCTATTATACTGTTAGTGTTAACAATTTTCTTTTTCATTGTCTTCAAATGTATTCTTTTTCCTCTACAATATTATTCATACATTGTGCGGTGCATGCTATTTTTTGATGCCCTATTGTACCAGCTTATTTATACGTGCTTATATAAATTATTAAATATTAAAACTCTTGAGACCTGTGGGCAACTTCTTGGTGCATGAGAGATTTGGAGAGAACGTTCATTTTGAATGCAGTTATTTATACCATAAAAATTGGCTTCCTCTAAACAATCAACCAAAACTTTGGAGTGGTAGACAATCGCTTTGTTGTATTATATTTTTAAAATTTCAACCTCTCATTATCGCGCCAAAAGCACCTATTTTCACCTTCAGGTTGTATTTCCCACTTGGAAGGGTCTTAAATGTAATTGGCTCGTTTCCTCTTTCAATACGTTATTTTGTGACGCTTCCCAAGGACATTTTTATGTTGTATATATATACGTTTGACTTGTGTGCCTGTTTGTTCGCGCTTTTAACTGCTTGTGCAATATACTTCTACATTGGCTGAATCTCTTTTCCCTCTAGATAGCAGGGCTGGGGTGCAGTAAATAGTTAGCTTGTCTTGGTATCGTGTTGCTGGCTTTCGTTTTGTTCGTCGGTTTAGGTGAGTCTCAATCCCTTCAAACGTAGCCCCAATAGACAATTATGTGGAAGAAATTGAGTCAAAGATTACGTAATAGTTTCAAGTATACTTACATTCAGTTGGTTTTCATATTGATTCAGTGTAATTTCTGCATAATAAAATATTTACTTTAATTAATTGAACCTATATGATTTCGCGTTCATATACATTAACACAAATGAATTTCGTGTGAAGATCGTGTGATATAAAAAAACTTTTATATTAAAATTAGAGACTAAACCTGGATATAAATGAATGCATTTGAATGATTAATCTCTTTTGATCTCTGTCAAAAAACTTTGAATACCGTTTCTAGTAAGTGGACAGAGAGGAAAAGGACAGGAAGCAGTCTTGTTTATTGTCACTGAAGCTAGAGTTATGAATTGGTTGCTCAGACCACAAACGTTTCAATCTCCTGGTTCATTGTATCGCCAAAATACATGTGTCGTTCTCTTTGATATTAAGTCAGTTTATGTATGACGGTTAGAGAGTGGTGCTTTACACGCCTGCTCAAAGAGGGATTCGAACATTGGAATAATGTCGATATTATTCGTGAGTATGTATTATATTAATCGAGTTTTAGTTCAGTGGATGATATAACTCAACGGATTTTAATAAAATGATCGAAAAGAATGGGCGCTGATAATTCACCAACAACCGACAACAAGCATAGCTGCTACCTGCATTCCGCCCATCACCATCAGAACCATAAATCTCACTGGTTCGTGAAGGATCAGAAGACCAAGGTCATCCCTGTGACTACGAAGAATTAATCATTATTTGGGAAAAATATTACCATTCACGTGCAGAGTTAATCATTCATAAATCACATTGAAAATTTTACTAAATAGTTTGTACTGATTAATTTAACGGAATGGATTGTTTAGTAAGGTTTGTTTTGACTACGCAGCAGCATGAATCAAAATCTGTAGTGCGAAAAATGTCCACTTCATTAACCAACGACCTTAAATGATGATTACTACTTCGGCTACTTTCCATTATCATCAATGGGCTTCCAGCTACTACTACGTTTAAGTAAAATTGAATAATCGGACACTTTCATCACTCAAAATGGAACGAATCTGGATATCAAAATTAAGTTTTCGAAATTTTGTTTAATTACTGAGTTAAGCTGTCAGTTGAAATTATTCCAATTACTTATACTTATGTTGTAGTGATCTCATGAAAGAAAAAAACATGTAATACCGGTGAATGAGGTTCAGAATAGTTGGCTTTGTTTTTGTTTTAAAATGTCTTAACCTTACGTTTGAAAACATAAAGATGGCAACAAGGATTTCCATGTAAAGTTTTATAACTTGAACAAGAATTGAGCCTGATAATTAAGTCTACACTCTATTTGCACTTGAGTAACCGATAAAGCATTCATTTTATCCAATCACTCATGTTCTGACTAACTTGTAATGATGTAGCTAATATATATATATTCTGTGATGAGTAAATGTCTTGTCTTCAATTCGATCTTGTGAACAGTTATCACTCAGCCCTATGGTACCATTGGATATCGTCGTTCATAAAAAAGCACTTTTTCAATCATTTTATTTACCTAAAGACCGTTTCACCATTAGAAATTGTAAAATTGTTATGCTAAGTGGTGTCGGATTCTGAAACTGATACGAAAGCTTCCCATACACGAGCTCGATCGGTTAGTCGGGGGAGAAGGAAGTCATTATTAACTAACCAGATCAAGAAATAACTGAACACCCATATATATAGCCAACACAATCTTTTTTGAAAACATGAATACAATTAATACGAAAAACCCAAAATAGTACAGTCAATTACAAAAGGAACAATAAATACAAGCCTACCGAAACTCTTCTTTGACTAAAGTTTAATACTATCACTAATATGCATCCTTCATTAAGGTGTATCTGCAAACTTGGAAGAATGCAGCTTTGCATCACGTGACTTTTTGGTGAGATTGGAACAGCACGAAGGGGATAACTTATAGTTATCTAACATTATGACACAACACAGGAAATATCGGCGGTGACCACAGCAACAGTTTATAGCCTAATATGATGACATATGTCAATAGTGAAACAAATGTTATTAAATCATACAAAAACACAACATACAAGACAAGTGTTTAACAGTACACATACCTTTTAATAATTTTTCTAACGATGAACGAACAACATGGATATTTTCAATATCAAAAAATTGTATGACAGCATTACGATAAACATTTGTATCTTCATAACCTTTGCCTTGTGCACGATTAGTAAATGCATTAATTGCTGGTCGCGTATCAACAACATATAATATATTCGAATCGGGATTTGAATTACGTATAGCTTCTAAAAGTACTTGGTCTTCGGTTGATTTTGATGAAAAACCTGCTAACGGTTGACTACTTCGACACAAAGCTGACTAAATACGGTTGTATACATTCACATGAAAAAAAGTGAAAACTGAACGATCAGACTGTTGAATATAGCTTGATGGAACGGCGAACTGATTGATTAAAGTAACTTACTTGATTTTTAACTCGTATATGCAAAGTTCGAAATCCGTCCAATATACTTTGGTTTAGATAACCGGGTATTATTGCTCGGCCTAAACAAAACTAAAGTATATGACTCAAAGCTGTGTACATCTGTTAATCAATTGAGTGTATTTTATAATTACGGGGATTTAGATTTTTATAAAGAAATTTTATGCTTTTGGTTGATAGGGTAGAATTTATTGTACGTTCAATTTTATTTATTGTACCATATAAGTATATTAATGTAAGTATATGATAAGGAGATGGTGAATCATTCATAAAATGTAGATTCAGGGCTAGAGGCATTTTCGCACTGAATGGGTGTAGAGTTAAAATCAACATGATTTGAATGGGTTGGTTTTTGGTATATGGCTAGATTTCGACTACCATTAGAATTCTTTTTAACTAGACAGTTTAAGAATAGTAGTTCACTATGTTCATCTTCCTTTTCGAAAATGAATTTGATATATCCTGAGAACGTGTTCATGTATTTGGAAAAATTTTTGAGAATCTTTTTGATAATGACAAATGTGTCATCTACATATCTGAACCCGATGCGTTCTACATAAGTTTTTCCGTGAGATCTCAACTCGTGTCAAGGAACATTTAAGTTACACAAAAAGACTTTCTAATAATCCTGTAAAACTTAAAAGTTTACAAATTAAATCAGTAATAGCAGTACATGCTATTTTCAACAATCACCGAACTGATATTAAAAATACCAAAATAATTCGGAGAGGCTTTTCAACTATAAGGTGAGGCGAGCAGACTAAACGTTTCACATAATGCTAAATCCCTCTGCCCTCAATAGGAAAGAAGGCTCGAAGATTCATCCAACCTGGACTGTTTATCTAAACAAACACATTTGACCCTATTTAATTTCCATACAATTTGAACCCCAAAACTTCATATTACAAGTGCATACATTTTTCGTACTCACATTCTGAGGCACAAATTAATATAGTGACAGACCATACAAATTCACCTTGCCCACAAATTACTTGAGGTTGATATATTTCGTTGATCCGACAACGGAGGTTCACATACACGAAATCGAATCAGTGTAGAGCTATTTAAAAAACTATTTACGTCCATATAAATGGTCACAAGTAAGACTGCTATGGAGCCATAAGATTTATAAAAAAAATCGTTCAGTTGAGTAGTTTTTGGTTATTGCTATCGTCAAGTATTTAAATTATCTGGAAAAATTTTAAAAACAGGGGAACATTGGAAACCTTTACCGTCTTAATTAAAGAACCTCTAAAAAAGTAGCGGCACCAGAAGCAACGTGTACACCTACAACAACAACTACGATACACTATAAGACTTGAAACTTTGAAGAACCGCCTCTCGGTTGGGAAAAAAGATGTACTTAACTCAAATTTAAGGACGGAATCGTTCCACCATCAAAAATTCAATTGCACTATTTGGACTGATCATTTTTAACAAGTTAGCATCCACTATCTTGAACAGCTTAAATGAATGGCTTTAAAATATCTGATTTTATCGGATAATAAGCTTTAACGAACGATTTTTGGTTTACACCAAGTACTTTGTACAATAATTAGTGGTTATATGTAGGCTTACATAACTCTACAGGTTATCAATGAATACATGACCCGACACTAGACATAAATTCTCATGACAGAAGAGGAGGGAATGACTGTGACGAACAAAAAACATTGTTTAAAACAAAAAGAAGGAAGCACACAAACAAACAAGACTAACTAACCTTCCCATTTGGATGTAAGTAAGTTAAGACAGGGAATCGGCCACGACTGCGAAAACGTGAACTTCCATACAAAATATTCTTTGATACCATACTTGGAACATATAATACGCGTGGATAAGTATCACATATCTGTATTGGTATATCGGAACGAAGATTGGAGAAATGATAACTTACAGAAATATTTTATGGATTACAGTTATAGTATAGTTGCTAACTAACTAGATCACTATGTATATGTATTCCGTTTATCATAAGCTTTCGGTTACCCTATAAACTACTGTTATATGAGCTACTACTCCTTATTTGTTGCCAATCTATTACTTACACCTACTTTTGGCTTGTTTATGTACCATTGTTGTTTTTCACTTTACGGTGTGGTACTGTCCAGTGTGTTTGTATATAAACCACTCCTGTTTGAAAAATATAGAAGCTAGTTGCTGACTTTTGGACTCAACGCAGGGCATAGAGAAAAGCTGACAGAAACAGCTGCTTCGGTTGGAGGCCAAGTCAGTGACGATGAACTGTAGAGGAAACGGCTACTGTCACCTTAAGTCTGCAGGGTGATAGACATCATATAGAGAATCACTTAAACCAGTAGGTTGCAGAGTTTAAACACCGATCCACCTGAGTTTAAGGCACCTGAATAGTAGTACAGTAGTCTTTTACAAAATGTAACTCAAACACGTACAGAAAATTGTACCTGGTAAACAAGTAACACTTAAGATACCGATTATAGATTATGATAATTTTGTCGAACCCAAACAGGACAATGTAAGGTAAATCTTAAATATTTAAATGCTCAGAATAGTAGTCCATATTATATAATATTTTAGTACTAGGCAAAGGCGTTGTTGTGTTAAACAAAAATTTGGGATTTGAAAATAAAATATTTATCAGCTTACGGGTTAGATAACAAATGTTGATCAATAGTCTAATCAAAAAACAATCGGAGTTTCTTTATTCGGTTGAATATTATATTCCTTTACTTTATTCAGCCTGATCCCAAGCATCATACATACAAGGCAAAGTAACAAGTTGACAGTTCAATCTGTTTTATAACGGACTAATTATATTATGTGTAATCGTTTAAAACTATATAAACAAAGATGGGATCTAAATTCATGAACTGAAAGTTGATGGTGAATTGACTCAATCATTATGCTGTAAATCAATAATAGTATTGTTTTCATTCCGACATCATCTCTCTCCACACAAACACACATGTGCGGAATAGATGTGATTTTCTATTCAGAGGGTAGTTGAGCGATTTTACTGGACAGAACGTATGAAATATTCGATTACAGAATCTATTCCAAATACTTTTCGGATTGATATAATGAGGAATAACTAAGCATGAGATTTATGCCCTGATTTCATTGACTCATGAATAACTTTGTATCCTACATCTGCAGTACAGAAAATTCGTAATCTCGTTTATTTTCGTTAGAATGATTTAAGATGATCAATGATTTTAATGCATGAGAGTTAATGACGCGGTACAATGTCAGTAGTGAAATAGATTTGAGAATTGTATTAAATCAGTAACAACAAATAATAAGAATTTCCTATAGCTAAATTCACTTCACGTGACCAAATTTTACACTTTGTGGTTGGCTTGTGTTTTGTACTTTTTTCATGTATTTAGTATGACTCACAATCATCACTTATTGTTTCATCACAAGTTTGGTTACTAAGATAACTCAGAATAATGATTCTGATAATTGTAAAACAGCAATTTTGGTTGTGAATACAGTTTCATTTCCTATGTTAACCCTAAATTTTATACAACTAACCTCAAAATTTTCGTTAACATTGGTTAGACTCCAAAAATAATTAGGTAATCCAAATCGATCATACTGAGACTTAAGTGAAAATGTTGACCAGCCTTCTTCTTGAGACCAATAACAATCCGGCGGTACAAATTGATAACACGGGAGTGCAGACACATGTGCTACATAAAATCCATTCCAAGAAACGAAAGAGATAAAAAGAATTATAAGAACTGAACAAGTTCATATTTATAAAACAGTGCACAAAGAATAAACAAACGATCGCGAGAAATGAAGGTTTTGGATTGGATCTTGTACGTGGAGTCATCGTCAGTGAACCCAGTTGCCATGAATTCTCAAAACTAGAGTGAAACAGCCGTTTAACGAAAACCACTTATCACATATCTACTCTACTTACATTTTAATGCATACTCAGTTTCTGGGTACAGATTTGTGTACTTGGCTTCAAGTCACAGTCTAAATGTATAAAGGCTAGTGATGTTACTCAGTTGCGAAAAGCTGAAGTAGGTAGGCTAGCGTTTGAACGCGCAACTTAGCAGCAGTCAAATGTTCTAATAATTGAGCCAACACCCTAATTTCGAATATTTAACAGAAAACTACGTAAAATCACTTGGTTTAAATAGTTGCTTCTATAAAAATCTTCCGCATTATTGTCCCACACACTGCAGAAGCTAAAGCGCAAAAAAAATGAGTACGAAAAAATTATCGTTGATACTCACATACATTCCATAGAACGAATAAAACAAATCAATGTCTAAATGGTCTTCTCTTCTGAAACATAAAGCTAGATTGCTTTGTGAACACATAAAAAAGGCGTTAAGTAAATACTGCCTGTACATTCAACTCATTTCACAATGAACATTGATTTCGCATACATCCTAATGACCTGTGGGACCTCATTATGAAAACAAATCCTACGCAATTGAAAGTAATTGAGATTTTACAACTGTATCATTTAAGAAAACGAAAATCACGAGTTATATAATGAGAAGTTAAAAAAGACAATACCAAACTATACTAATAACTGTCATCTTATTTTAGGTAGACTGACTAATGGAAATTTCACAAGATGTGGGAACGTACATATTGTTATTAACCCTAGAAGTATTATTACTATCATTTCAACACATAAACAAAGGTACGAGAAGGCACCAAATAGGTATGCGCCACACAAATCATTCGATTTGTGTGAGGGCTGGAATACTGCACGGGTGCCCAGACAGAAGCAGGTGGCTTTCGCAGGGGGCCACACCCAGAGCCTTTGACCTAAAGGTCTGACCCACAAGACAGTAGAGCAGCGTAAGGAGATGCAGTACCATGGTAGCTGGTGACCAACAATCGGTTCATACGCCAATTGTTCCATCAGAACCCTGAAGCCCATGTTCACTGTTGGTTTGGAATCAGGGTTTTCCAATTCCCTTAGGTGAACCCTCTGTATTCATCGACCCGGTTAAAGTGCCGGGCATTCGCTTTTCGTCCTCTCAATCTCGTAAACAACACCTCTGCCGCAAGAAGGTAGAGTTGAACTTTGAGGGAAGTGGTTATATGCACGTTGCTGTGTGAGAGCATTTGTAGAGGGAGAGCTGACTCTCCCCACTCGGTTGCACCAGGGCATTAGGGGCAACCCCAGGAGTATGCAATGTGCTTCCCCTAAACGATGTTTAGAACTGAATTTGACGGATCATTGTTGACATATGACTAGAGTCAGTACAGAAATATCAACAATGAGGAAAATACAAACCTTTTCTAATAAAGATCATATTTTCACAACTTAAACAGCGAACTGATCTTAGCTAAACCAGCATTGGAAATCTGATCTTCATCAACAAACCTTGCTGGATAGAGTAAAGTATAGTCAAACTAATGGTGAGAAGTGTTCTGGTTTATGAGTATAGTAATTTGACTTAAGCCCGCAAATGCCCAGGTATGGCCGAGAGCAGGGACGACCTACCCTCCCTCTCGAAGTGCTCTCACACGGCCGCACGCACACAGCCTCTGCCAGGGAAGTCCTACTCACTGCTTTCTCACACCAGGGGTGATGTTTACGAAATTGAGAGGAAGGAAAGCGAATGTCCGTCGCTTTAACCGTGCCGGTGGACACGGTGAGTCCACCTAGGGGAGTTAGGAAACCCTGATTCCAAACCAACAGTGAACATGGGCTCCAGTATCCTGGGGGAACAATTGGTGCATGAAACGATTGTTGGTCACCAGCTACCATGGGACTGCATCTCCTCACGATACTCCACTGCCTGATAGATAAGACCTTTAGGTCAAAGGGTCGGGGTGTTGCCCCCAAAGAAAACCATCTGCTTCGGTCTGGCCACTCGGACAGTATCACAGCCCTCACACAAATAAAATGAAATGACGATATTTACTGAAAATACTATTCTCGCCTCGACTTACAGTCAAACAATTCACATTATTATCATTATTTTTACTACGTCACTTATTCGCTTTCTTTTATTCCCACTCTGTCTATCCTTACTTTTCGACTTAGACAGCAGCTCGTCTATAGTGGAAATTCGACTCTATCTAAACGTTCTAGAGTCACTGCCTGGTTGAAAATTGAATGCTACCACCAAATACGAATACTAAAACAGCTTTTCTGAAACTACGTGCATCATTCAAACTGGCTGCCTTCAACGTTCGCACACTTATGTAGGTCGGACAACAAATAGGGCTGACTATGTCTTTAGAAAGTCTTAACATTGATGATTGCTGTCTATCCGAGACCCGTATTCAAGACTCTGGTGAAGTACTACAAATTCGCTCTTCATCTGTCGCTTCGAAAAGCTTGTTTTACGTGCGTTTATCCGGAGACCCTGTGGCATCTTCGTCTGGTCTTGCTGGCGTTGGTGTCGCACTAAACGCTAGTGCTGAGGTAGCACTAATAGATTGGACCCCCATTAGCAGTCGGTTATGTGCTGTTAGAATAGAAAGTTCCATCAAAGTGAGAAGAAATCGGCGGGAGAAACGATGTCTTCTCGTCATCTCCATGTATGCCTCGACAAATTGCAGCCCGGATGCAATCAACGATGAATTCCACCACCAATTATCTGTTCTTCTGCAGAAAGTGCGTTCGACAGATATTGTAGTACCAGCCGGAGACTTGAATGCTCAGGTCGGGCGTCTAGGCACAGAATAGAGTCGTTTAGGTGGCCGATGGGGACTTCTTGGTCGCAGGACAGATAACGGGGACTGTCTACTGCAACTGTGCACAGTCCCGCCTATAAGCACTGGGTTTCTTCAGGCTCCTTACGACTCATCGAAGCCCATCGGTCTACACCAGGTGACCGTGAGTCTGATCACAAACGGTGATCGTCTACTGCAATTGTGCATAGACCACAACATATTTCTGGCTAGCACTAACTTCCGGCACAGTCATCGCCGATGTGCCACATGGCATCCTTCCTCTGCATCTCTAGCCTGGACTCAGATTGATCACATCGCGATCAGCTACCGCTGACGTGGTTCTGTACAAGACTGCCGCTCCTTTTGGAGTACCTATCTGGACTCTGACCATGCCTTGGTCTGCGCCAATCTTACCTTACTTTTCAGTGGCCAACGAAGTGACCACCATCAACGGATTGATGTCAGCAAGTTGGTTGCAACTCCTGTTGTTAGTAAGTATTGAACCGAGCTAGCTTCTAGGCTGGCTACCACTCCACGGAAAAGTATAGATGAGCATTGGTTGCGACTTCATGACGCCATAAAAATGGTGAGTAAAGTCGCATGCGGTTTCGCAAAAGGTCTCGCTTATAAGCACGGAGTTTCTTCAGGCTCCTTACAGCTCATTCAAGCCCGTCAGTCTACTCCGGGTGGCCGTGAGTTTGACCACAAATGGCGGTGTGGATCTGTTGCCTGGAGAAAGAATTAATGACCTTCAGTACGCGAATGATATTGCCTTATTGTGCGATAATGCCCAAGTCATGCAATCCTCACTTAATCAGTTGGCAATCAGTGTCCGTAGGAATGGTATGTGCTTTGCACCTCCGAAGTGCAAAGTACTTCTACAAGACTGGCAGGATTCTAATCCTGTACTCACCCTGGATGGTGAGCAGATAGAAGCAGTCGAGAAGTTCGTGTATATAGGTAGTTGCATAAGTGCTGGTGGTGGCGTGAGTGATGAGATCAATGCACGTATAGTGAAAGCCAGAGCGGCTTATGCCAATCCGTGCCATCTTTGGCTCCTTCGTGATTTAAGTCTGACTAAAAAAGTTCGGATCTACAACGCGTCGGTGAGAGCAGTTCTGCTCTATGCTTGTGAAACCTGGCCTCTCCGAGTTGAGGATGTTAGACGACTCTGTGTTTGATCATCGTTGTCTCCGAAGAATTGCTGGCATCCAGTAGCAACACCATGTTAGTAATGCAGAGGTCCGGTATCGTGTGTTCGGGCACAGAAATGATAATGCAATCGATGTCACCATCTTGAAACACCGACTTCAGTGGCTTGGACATGGTCTACGAATGTCGTCCCAGAGAATTCCACGTCGTGCATTATTTGCCGACTCTGGGACTGGTTGGAAAATTCGGAGAGGTGGGCAGTGTATGACATGGTGTCGTGGTATGAAAGAAACCTGCAAAGGGCTGGCTTGTGTTGGTCCTTCACGACTCCCTGGTTGGAGTCTGAGAGATTGTGCGACACAGTGGCTAGAGACGTTATCAGATATGGCTCAGAATAGAAGCCAGTGGCGATCCTGCTGTAATCTTCTTTTACTTTCTTCATAAGAAGTGGTTGTAACTTCCTTAACTGAAAAACTTCTTCTGGTTGTACCTTTCCGTTTCCCACACTATTATTATTATTATTATTATTATTATTATTATTATTATTATTATTTCACTACCATACACTAATCTGTAGTCGTTATTGTTCCTTTTTTCTGATACGCACCTTACATTCTTTTTCTCGTCCCATTCTCATTGTTTTGTGTGGCGCATATATATCTGGTGCCCCCTTCTATCAATATTTGTGTTCAAATAAATAAATAAATAAGAAATAATTTGACACAAAACATAATAATTTAACACAAAACAATGTTGCGCCATCATATACTAGGAAGTCAGCTTACAAGTTAAGTAGGAATTGTTTCAGTATGTAAGCGGCTACGACACAACTTAACACCCGAGATTATTAGGTTTAAAAAGGCACACGTACATATGTTTGGGTACTACTTATTGATAATCCATAAAATATTTTGTCAGTATATTGTTTGTAACATATATCTGCTTTGTACCTGAATTACAATTTAAACACACTAACGAACTTGGATGAATAAATGAGCTAACCAGCATCTTGATTAGAACCAACTGGTCGACATGTATTGATGAATGAGAAAAAATTAGAAATATCTCACGGATGTACATTTATTCTTCTATTGCTTAATTCACAACTTGTATATAAACTCGTGAGTACGCCCAGCGGGTGAACTCGAGGAAGCTCTAAGAAGTTCAGGAAAAGCCTAAGATATTCTATCCAATCATCTTTTCGAAGAATATTCCAGAATCTCTACGTGTAGCTTCCCTATCGGACAAATGCCAAAACCCCTGTATGCGGATTGGATGACCATAATGATGATTTCGTTTTTACTAAAAACCTGGGAGTTTTGTACCATATTTGACACTGTTTGGAATAGCATTCCTTTCACTTGTCTTCTGTCTTATCATTTGAGACTTGGAGGGTTCTAGCGTTCGAGTCCTGAAGCTCTAGATATAACAAAACTATGTAGTAAGTACAGAGACGCATTGAAGAGAGCTGACTTAAGTACCAAAGGAGATATGCACCATTCAGATGAGTTACAACAAGAACGAAGAGTATGCCTAAAAGATAGTCGGTCAAACGGCATGAAGATTGGGATTTTCGCAGAACCAGGGCTATCAAAGCCGACTGAATTGTTCAGTTTATTCATGAATGGTAACTAGAGCTATCTTAGTGAGTTTATTTAGTAAAATAACTAGAGCTTTCAATAAATAATTTATAAATATTTTAATTAGGATGTATCATTCAAGTTAACCCTAGCAACATATTCTGTTACTTTAATTACTAAAAGATAACATCTGAGAAATGAACGATTTCACATCCATGTTTTATTCTTGAGCTTAACACTTACCAACACAAAGTAACCGTGTCAATGTTGAATAAACATCGTGACAATCTCGTTCTTTTAATACAACCAAACGAATTACATGGAAATCTTTACCACGTATAATCAAAGGTGCACCACCAGTAGTTAACGGTAGACGTTCAACTGAAGAAATTAGTTGATTCGGTAACTATACAAAATGAACGCAAAAAGCATATGCTGATCAAAACAAAACAGTTAAATCAAGCCAGATCAACAACTGAGGCAGAATAATATGAATTTATTCTGTTTCACGGTTTCTCGTCAGCTAGTCACAACCAAATATGGATTAAAGTGTGACAAAGGGCTATGATATAGTGTGAGGCAAAAGAACTTGATGACGGAAAGGATTTGAGTTACAAAGATAATCAACAATATATATATATATATATATATATATATATATATATATATGAGTGGGCACATGTGAGGTTATTTAAATATGGAATTCAAAAACAATCCTTCCAAGTTATCAGCCGACTCTTCCATAGCAATTTAGGGACCCAAACCTGATCTATGCGTCCAGAAAGAGACAGTAATCAACCTATTATTTTGTTAAATTTACAGATTTGACTAAAATCACCTGCAATTATTTTTATTGGTGTCTCTTTTGCAATGCAGTGTTCGTCAAACTAGTTTTTATGAATGCCAAAATCATCCTTTCATTTGTCGGGGTTTTTTCATCCACGTAACAGTCTAAACTCTTCGGATCTTACGTAATTATTATGCAACTCTTCAATTTTAGTTATAAGCAATCATCATTACATTGTTCTAAATCTTCTATAACCATTTTCAAGTGATTTGAATTTTACGTAGACTCTTCACAACTATAATTATCACACGACCCACCCTATTCTGTCTCCAGACTTCATTTGATTATTCCCCCACACCTGTTCAATTACATATATATATACAATTGATAATCTTAGTCATTTTAATTTTTTTCATCAATAACAATTGTTTCACATTGTCATACCTCAATATTACACTTCAATACATATATAGTCGTAAGCAGCCGATGAGAAACCACAAAATATGAATCCATACTATTCTGACTTAATTGTTCTGCGGGCTTTATTCAAATTCGTAATAGGAACCAATAGCATGGAAACAGTTAAACATGTTGTCCGAAGATGCATTTCTATCAAGAATTGCTATTGAACGACATCATCAGCACAAACTTCAGAAGAACGATGAAAGCACCACGACCAAACCATCCAGCTCAGTGAACAAAACTCTATCAAAATCCTCAAGATCCTACCATGCCAGACAGACCGGTTGAGGAACGATAAGATTGAAAGCAGAAAACCTAAGGTCCGGGAGCGAAGTCATACTGCTAACTGTACAGGGGTGTGGCGGTAGTAAAATATTTCCTTCAGACAACCAGCATAACAGCGATGCTGTCTTGCTACAAAGGAAGGGTCGACCCTAAAAATGCACACTTCGCTTTATTCCACAGATATTCGTCTCCAGGGATAAGGTTCCAACAAGTACAGGGCTAACACGAAAATTACTCACAAAAATGTCATGTGTGACTGGCCCCAAGCAGTTGTCCCTTGGGCATTGCGATAACACTCTCAGGTCACTAAGACCACCTCTAATCCAATTTCCTTTTCAGGTACCTCTAGAAGAACCCTTCTATGGTATGCGCAACTGGGAAGTGATAACCACCCTCATACCTCTAACAGAACTCAAGACCACCGTACTCATAATCAGTTCCCCTCTTCTATTCCTATTCTTCCTCCTAATTCGACTATCAACTCCAAATTCCCTCTTTTGACTTTTTCCTCAAGTATCACCATGGCCAACGATGCTAGTGCGCGAAATATTGTCCCAAGACTGCTACCTATGTCAAATCGACCAACAGGAATCTTAGCCAAGACCCTAAAATCTCATACGGTTGATGTATGCTGTGTCTCTGAAACATACAAAGAGGATCTTAGTGTGGTCACTCACTTGACCTCACCTAGCCAAAACGAGGAGCCCACGAGATATACCCTCCTGTTAGCTGGCGACCAGACTTTATTTTATTTATTTGAAAACATAAATATTGGTACAAAAGGATGCTAAATACATATGCGTCACACAATTCACTTTATCCAACAACTTAAATTAAGTCAGTGACAGAAATCCAATAGTATTTCCTGACTTGGCATCCTTAATAAAATTCTGTATTGAGTCAGTCAGTCAGCTACAGTGTAGGACCAAATACATACATGAATCGGTCCAAGTTGCCACACCTCATTAGCACAAGATGAACACCGGATTCAGAGAAGCAGTTAACTCAATAGTGTAATATATAAACGAAAGATTTTATGTAAGGATACAGTACAGGAAAAAAAGAATTAGTTAGTAGAAAGAAATACGTGAAAAATTTTTAGGAGAAGACAAAGAGTGTATACACTGACGCCATTGTGATCGATACTGAGCCACGTCACCAAGAGTCTCCAACCATTGGTTACGATAGTCACGCGGACCCCAACCAAGTAGTCTGCATCTACCAACATGGCTCAGACTAAAAGTTAGTGACTTCAAGCACTAATACCACGTTTTGGTTTGGCCGCCCCTAACTTCCTTCCAACCTTCCCCAACACCGGTTAGCATTACACGCCGTGGTAATCGGTGTTCAGGCATATGTAACATGTGGCCCAACCATCTCAGCCGATGAAGATTCATAACCTCATTAACTGATTTACCATCATTACACAATACCCTGCGTCTAACCTCACTATTACTTACCCGGTGATCCCAGCAGATGCCAGCAATATTTCTAAGGCATCTGTGGTCAAATACTAGTAGCTTACGAGTGTCTTCTACTCTTAATGGCCACGTTTTGCAGCCGTAAAGTAAAACAGAACGGACTGCCGCGCAGTATACTCGTCCTTTTATTGATAGACGGATATATCGCCTTCGCCATAGGTGGCGCAAGTTGGCAAAAGCCAAGCGAGCTTTTCGAATCCGTGCTGAGATTTCGTCGGACACCAACCCATTAAGGCTGATCAGACTTCCAAGATAAGTGAAGTTGTTAACGCGTTCGACTACTTCACTCCCTATCCTTAGTTCAGGTGTTGACGCAGACCAGTCCTGAAGCAGCAGCTTGCATTTAGAGGGAGAGAAGCGCATTCCAAACATTCTGGCATTGTTGCTTAGTGCTGCCAAAAGACTGCATTTTGTCAGCGTCTTCATCAAACGGGACTATGTCATCTGCGTATTGTAAGTCGTTAAGTGGACCTCCTGGTAGGAGATCAATGCCCGAAAATTCAGTCGATGAGAGTGTTATTTCCAACATTATGTCTATGATGAGATTGAACAAAAATGGAGATGGTGGACAGCCTTGACGGACACCACTTGAGGTTGCGAAATCAGATGACAGATGACTCAACTAGTAGTGTTCGAGTAAAGAGTCTTCACAAGGTTTATGTACTTCTGAGGTACGCCTTTCAATGACAGACACGGCCACAGAACCTCTCGGTCTACGGGGTCAAATCCTGCTTTTAAGTCAAGGAAAACCACCATCGTCGGACGCCGATAAGCATGCCTGTGTTCTAGAACCTGACTAATGGTGCATATGTGGTCGATGCAATCACCACCAGGTCTGAAGCCAGCTTGATTCTCTGGTGTTTGCAGTTCACGAGTCTTAGTTAGGCGCCCGATGTTTATTGAGGCTAGCATCTTTGATGCTATATTAGTCAAATTAATCCCTCTATGGTTATTACAGGGTGATTTTGACCCCTTCTTATATATTGCGATAGTCAGTGATTGCGACCAGTCAGATGGGATTACGTCCAATTCCCAGATTTTAGCAAAAATATTAGTCAACCTAATCGCTAAAATTAGACCACCATTCTTAAAGACCTCTGAAGCCAATCCATCTGGACCATCTGCTGTTCTTCGTTTCAGATTAACTATAGCCTTTCGAACTTTAGCTAGAGTCGAAGGACCTACTTCAGTGTTCAATTCAGGCTGTTTGGGAATTGTGCGTAGTTGTAGACTAGCTGAAAGCCAGCTGAACTGCTCCTTAAAGTGTTCCGCCCATCGTTCTAAACATCTGGGTCGAGAGCAGATAAAAGTGTCGTCTTTTTCTGAAATAGTCTCAATTACATTTGAATTTTTAGTTCCAGTTTCTTCTTTGAGTCTGAAGAGTTGTCTTATGTTTCCTATAGCCGCCGCCTTTTCCATCTCCTTTGCCTTCGATGCTTACCACTGCTCACAGTCGTTCCTTAGACTTTTGCTTAACCTAGATCTGATTTGCTTCCACTCATCATCGTATCCAGACCCTGACGGGATGAGTTTGCGAGAATCCACCAGTGCAACAGCCCTTGGAGAAATCCATTGGTTCTTTGTAGCGCTGTTTCCACACCTGTTCGTATATCTTTCCAAGCAACATCTAGGTCAGCCTCGTTTTCAGAACTACCTAAGTGTGACCTCAGTTGTTCCTGGAATCTACTTTCGACTTTCTCGTCACTCAGTACAATTCTAATAGATCTTCTTGGTATGCCTTTTCTGTGTCCAGTGAGGTGCAAGCAAATGCGTGCCCGTATCAGAGCATGGTCAGAGTCTAAGCGTATATTCCAGAACAAGCGACAGTCTTCTATCGACTCTCTTCAACGACGACTGATGGCAATATGGTCTATTTCAGTCCATCGTTGGTTTGACTCAGGTTGTCGTCATGTTAGACTATGTCTCTCCTTATGCTTAGAATTAGTTCCCTAAAAACAAACCATTGTTTGAGCACAATTGTAGCAGACGATCACCATTATCTGTTCGCTGAGTCGGAGTACTAGAATACCCACCTAAATGTCTTACTGTTTGGTTTAAGCTACCTATCTGAGCATTAAAGTCACCCCCTATGAGTACTATGTCTGAACGTTTAGCTTTCTGAAGAAGTTCAGATAGCTTTCTGTGAAATTCATCGTTCACTTGATCTGAGTTGCAGTCGGTGGGAGCGTAGGCAGAAACAACGAGAAGGCAACGACGTGTTTCCCGATTTTTACGAGTTCTTATGTACCCGTTTAGCCGAACAGCACATAGATGACGGTTAACGGGGACCTACTGTAATAGTGCTTGTTCCGCCCTCGTACTTAGTGCTATGCCTACACCTGTCAGGCTATGAGAACTTGCCATCGGGTTGGCAGATACACGGCGGGTGTATCTCGTCGCCTCTCCGTCTTGCCGAGGTGAGGTCAAGTGAATGAGCACACTAGGATCCTGTATGCGTGTTTCGGAAACACAACATACATCAATGGTACGAGATTCTAGAGTTCCAACGAAGGAGGCCTGCTGGCCGATTTGACATGGAGTGTATACGTTGAAAGCTCTGTGTAGTTTGAAGCGAAGTTTCAATAAACTTGGGAGTGTTTTGCGCGCTAGAATCGTTGACTATGGTGATACTTGAGAAGGAAGCTTAGTGGTGAAAGTCGATGTAGGAGGAATAATGGGAATTAAAGAGGGAGGCTGATTATGAATACAGTGGTCTTGAGTGCTGTTAGAGGTATGGGGGCATTTATCACTTCCCGGTTGTCCACACCGTGGAAGGGTTACTCTGGAAGTTTATTTATTTATTTGAATACATAAATATTGATACAAGAAGGCACCAAATAGATATGCACCACTCTGGAAGTACCTGAAAAGCGAATTGGGTTAAAGGTGGTCTTAGTGACCTGAGAGCGTGACTTTATTGCACAAGGAACAACTGCTTGAGGTCGGTAACACACGACCATTTTGTGAGTAATTTTAGTGTTAGCTCCATACTTGTTGAGACCTTACCGCCGGAGACATATTCGTGGGATAAGGCGAGGTGTGCACTTTTAGGGTCGACCTTTTTTGACCCCACCACTCCTTGTGAGAAGGCAGCATCGCTGTCATGCTGGTCGTTTGAAGGAAACACCTTACTGCTGTCACACCTCTGTACAGTCAGCAGTAGGACTTCGCTTTCGGACCTTGGGTTTGTTGCCTTTAGTCTTACCGCACTTCAACCGGTCTGTCTGGCACGATAGGACCTTGAGGAACGATTGTTCCAGCCAGTATAGCTCAGCTGCTTCATCACGATAGGTGAGCCCAACCACCACGTCAAGGTAGCAACAACGGTCGGGAAGATTGTAAAGGTAACTGTAAGGAATCATTCTGTTTGAGGAAGATCAAGACCAGTCATGAGTTAATTGACGATAATCGAAACAGTTGTAAACAACAAAGCCGACATCTTATGAATTATTACACGTTTAGAGAATTTGCAAGCAAGTTACGAAATTTTTTCAGTTGGATTATCTATGCCAACTCTTGATTCGAAGATGATAATGTGACTTAGGTAAATCACGTTTGCGAAAACCTAAAATTTACTCAGTCAGAAAGTCCTCCTTTCTAATTTAACGCAGCTGATAATTTCTCTTAGCCTAAACATTTAACCACCATATATACTTAATGAAAGGTGAAAAATGAATAAATCCATCTAATATCAGTTTCAAAAGTTGGTAATGCGGTAATACCTTATGTAAGTAACAATATTTTAAACTCGCATTGATCAGTTACTCCTACGGAATAACATTTGTATGAATACATTGATTCGTTTTAACAGATTAAACACACGCAAAAAGCACATTTTATGTTTAACAATAATATATACATCAAAATACTGAATAAACATGAACAAACAAAAAAGACTACCCATATTTCCTGTTTTCGAGATAATCCAAGAAAAAATATGTGCGTCAGAGTTAAATGTAAGGTTCCACGAATATGTGCATTACCATCGAATTGATCTATGTAGAAAACGTCATTTACCTATAAGAAATAATACGTTTTATGATAAAAGCAGTTGCAAAGTTTGTTTACAGAAAAAGTTACTTTAATAGTCGTTATTTGTCTGGTACTATGATTAATATTTGACCAATCATAGTTTTAAGTTATTTTAACTATTGCATACATCTAATAGGTACAGTATCATCGATAATAAAAAGTCAGTATGAATGGAGTGACAGCATTTCATTATCATTTCAACACATAAACAAAGGTACGAGAAGGCACCAAATAGGTATGCGCCACACAAATCATTCGATTTGTGTGAGGGCTGGAATACTGCACGGGTGCCCAGACAGAAGCAGGTGGCTTTCGCAGGGGGCCACACCCAGAGCCTTTGACCTAAAGGTCTGACCCACAAGACAGTAGAGCAGCGTAAGGAGATGCAGTACCATGGTAGCTGGTGACCAACAATCGGTTCATACGCCAATTGTTCCATCAGAACCCTGAAGCCCATGTTCACTGTTGGTTTGGAATCAGGGTTTTCCAATTCCCTTAGGTGAACCCTCTGTATTCATCGACCCGGTTAAAGTGCCGGGCATTCGCTTTTCGTCCTCTCAATCTCGTAAACAACACCTCTGCCGCAAGAAGGTAGAGTTGAACTTTGAGGGAAGTGGTTATATGCACGTTGCTGTGTGAGAGCATTTGTAGAGGGAGAGCTGACTCTCCCCACTCGGTTGCACCAGGACATTGTGAGGCGATACTGTACCAAAATATAATATTGAATAAAGCCATTAATAATAATAATAGTGGTTAACAACTAGGTGGGATATTTGGGAAAGTTTAAAACGAAAAGGAATCTGAAAGTCAAAGCAGGCGAAAATCACAAGTACCCTAGTATATGTTGGATACTTTTGTGTTGTGCAGAATATCTGAGAATACCATCAGTAGTGAGCAACTAAATTTATTAACCGACTTATTGAATTTATATAAATGAGTAGCTGCAACAGTGTTTCAGAAATCCCGTTGACCCCCTATTAATGGTTAAATTCAGAGAAAGAATCCGTCAAGCAAACGAATCTACACAAGCTGCCAGCTTTGGGGAAATCCCCAAAGTGAAATGGCCTTCCCCAAAGTTTAGGGAAATTTTGGGGTTCGCGTCTCATTTCCCCAAAATTTCCTCAAAATGGACCAAATTTTCCTCAAAGTTGGCAGCTTGGGTATGAAGTCGGTGAACTGGTTGACAAAGTGCACACTTTGACAAGCGCTCGTCCAAAAATTTAAGTAGTTTTCATCACCCAAGTCCAGGTCGTCAGAGAGGAAATGTGTGATGTCGGTCCGAACCACTATAAACACTGTGAGCAAAAAACGAATTCATGTGGCTGCAGCCACATGAACACTTTATATCACAGAAAATTAGAGTAGCACTCAAGATGTTCTCGACGAATCTACGCACGTCCCAGCATTATACAGAAATCCCCCAGAAATATTTGATACCTTTAAAGAGAAACCCATGTACCTGTGTCACGGATATCTTGTCCATGCACTTATGTAACGCTATGGTTGAAGATGATAAGTTTAATTATCAATGTTATGTTATTTTTGGAAAGTTATGGACGTGAAATAGTCTGTTTTGGTCCTGATAGCTGGTATGAAGACCATACAACACAAAGGATGTTATTATGAAAGTGTATTGGTAAGAATGAGTACAGAGAAGATAGCGAGACAACCACCGCATACGATTAATAGATGCGGGTTGGTTATTATTATCATTATCATTATTATTGTTATTACCATCATTACTATTCACAAACATCTTATGGGTACGTAAGTGTTGTGAAGAAACCATTTTGGTTTTCGTCAAAAACGCAATAATACACAAGTTTCTTGTGTAGCCTCATCAGCTGCTGTACCTCGTCCAGGACATTTATATCGCTTCCGAAGAGAGGGGGCAACAATATTTCTGGTTTGATTGTGCCAAGTTGTTTATATGACATTTCTACAGGTTACGTTCTAACCCATTGTCTACTGTTCATCTCTCGATTATCGCAACGTCCTTCTGAAGTTCAATCGAATGCTTTTCGCTTTTTATGGACGTCTAGAACTTGTATCGTTTTTATAGAATAGTGACGCCGAGCTTATTTTACCTAGTAGGTCGTCAACAAAGATTAAAAACAGGAGATGACTTTTGCGAAACTCCTGCTGTTGGGACCTTCTCATTCGTATATACTCTATTTAACTTGGTACGAAATATCTTGTTCCTTAGATAGTTTTAGAATCAAAACAATAGTGGGTCAGTGAGGCCCATCTTCGCAGCCTCCGCTATCAGAAGTACATGAGGTATTGTGTCAGAGGCTTCAGCAAAGTTGAGAAATAATACATAAATAGTTATCTTGTGGTACCATCAGATCATCCAGCTGTCCCATAATATGAGGAGATCGAACGCAAATAACCTGTTTTTTTTCTGAAACCGTGTTGGACTTTAGGGAGTTATATTATTCTAATTATAGTATGAATTAGGAATTCCAGGATTAACGCAATTGAATTAAGACACAGGCACAACGAATGTACTGTATTTAGAATTCGAAATCGAGCATTCAACAAGTACAAAAGAATCATTAGTTAATTCAAACACCACATCCGCCACAGCTTAAATAGAAGTATAAGTGTTTGTAATCGGTTGTACGTCTTCTTGTTAAGTTCATCCTGAGTCTGTCCGACATTGTATAAGATAAAAACTTTGTAGTATCTAGAAAGTGCTCATTAGTATTGGAATTAACAAACGAAATCGGAACAGACTCACCTGGAATTGTATACAACCAGCATGTCGGTTTTGTAATGAAATCATTAATATCTAGAATTCGAACCATAGATTTTTCAACACTATCCCCCCCCACGAAATAATGTTGGATCTTTATACTCCCAAGTTATGAATAATGTGGCTTCATTTAAAACATATATCTCACATTGTTTAGAGTAAACATTAGAACTGTTTTTGTGATAAGAGTAAACAGCAGTTGATATGAAATCATCCGAAATATAATAAAACTCGAGGTCACTTAGTACTCGTGCTTCGCATTGGGCAGGTTTTTCACGAAGATCAAATACATTATGAGGATAGGTAATATATGATATGACATCAGGATTTGATTCTTCTGAAATATTCTCATGAAATTCATTAGGACTGTCATTGCAGAGCGTAGGATCGTTAGAAAAATCAGCATCTATCCAAACCACATCACGTTTTCGATCATGATTAGGTTCATTTAACATATTTTCCTCAGAATTGCAAGTAATTTCATTAGAAATATGTGAATCATTAGGAAAAGTCATACTTGGTACAATAGCATGAGAATTCTGATAAATCGGTTGATTAGGAAATGTTGTCTCACAAGAATTCTGGATTTCATTTAACTCTGAACTGCCATATGACTCTGAACTGTCTTTTGAAATCGTTGATAAAGATAAATGATCATCATGAATACTCGACTCAGTAGAATCAGAATTACAAGACTTAATATTAATTGCAGTAAGATGAACATTAGCATTACAAACTGACTGAACTTGTCCAATATCACAACATTTGAAGCATTTAGAATTATGAAATTTACATGAATTAGAAGAGTGGAACTTGCAACAGGACAAACACTGACCAAACTTGTCCCCATCCTCGTGAACTGCATCCAAATTCAATGAATTGTCTGCATAACCTTGAGTATGCACTAGGTTGAGATGACGTAGTAATGTAGTGGACTTTTTTATATCCTCATGAATCATTTTACGAAATCTTCCTCCTTTACGACATTTGAAATTTGTATACTGAGCATAGTCTAGCAGTAGATCCTTGAGAGCTGTATAAGAAAGCGAAATGGGTTTTTCCGGCATAGCCAGAGTTCTTAATAAGCTGTATGCTTCTTTTCCAATGAATGTGAGGAAGTGTGCCACAATATTAACATCCTCATCATCTTCCTTGGTCATAGCCCAGATTTCGAACCTTTCAAAGTAATCTTCAAAAGCTTCTGAAGTTGAATGAATATCTAACTTTTCCATTGCAGGCTCCATCGCGACGCCAATATATTATTCTAATTATAGTATGAATTAGGAATTCCAGGATTAACGCAATTGAATTAAGACACAGGCACAACGAATGTACTGTATTTAGAATTCGAAATCGAGCATTCAACAAGTACAAAAGAATCATTAGTTAATTCAAACACCACAGGAGTATGATGTTGTTTTCGATGTATTCCTTCATTTGTTTATTGACCAGCTCTCTAATTACCCATGGCAGTATTGAGAGTGTTGAATATCAAAGTAGATGATCTATGCTGAATGATTCGGAATGTCATCGATTTAGACGGGAATGATATGGCGAATCAGATAACTTTGAAGTCACACCTCGCGGTCAGCATCCAAGGTGGATGAGCCCTTCGCTGTTTCAAAGTACTATGGCTGCTATAAAGACCATACAACACAAAGGATGTTATTATGAAAGTGTATTGGTAAGAATGAGTACAGAGAAGATAGCGAGACAACCACCGCATACGATTAATAGATGCGGGTTGGTTATTATTATCATTATCATTATTATTGTTATTACCATCATTACTATTCACAAACATCTTATGGGTACGTAAGTGTTGTGAAGAAACCAATTTGTTTTTCGTCAAAAACGCAATAATACACAAGTTTCAATAATGTCAGCATTATATTTGCCACATTTGAAAAAGAGAATAATAATAATAGAATAATAATAAATCAGGTTCTGTGTGATTGAGAAGAATATTGAATTGAGTTTCAAGAAGTAAAGGGAGAAAATAAGGAAATGGAAATAAAGGAAGTGCTTAATAGGCGTGTTTATGAACACAGAACAAGAATGAACGACTATGTATGTATCGTCAAATTAGTAACGAAAATAAATTAGAAAATAATTATGAAGAATTAACTTATTATTTCAGTAAGATATGACGCTAGAATAAATGTTTTTGCAGTCGCAGTTTGGAGTGATGCTATGAAAGTCTCAATTAAGTGAAAAGGATAGTGAAATATCAATATGTATGAGTCATATGTGCATAGTGAAGATAAAACGAGTCTTAATTAAAAACCTCGTAAACTTAAGAATAATATTTATTTAGATGGAAAAAAGAGAGAAATAAACACCTGGTGAAAGAGTACGACCATGATAATAATAACTATAATAATGATAATTGTGTAATCAATATCGACCTCTGAAGTAAACCAGCAATTTAAAAAGAAATAAGACAAAAAAGCATCCTTTACTGAGCTCGGATAAATACATGTAGATTTATGTAGTAGTACACAGTGTAGTAGTACACAGAGTGAAACCGGACATTGTTATAAATTTTTGTGCAATAGTAATTTAGAAGTATGCTATGAAATTCACAATTAATCCCAAAGGATAACCAAATATCAGTTTCCATGTGTTATATATATGTGTGTGGTGAAGATAAAATGGATCTAAGAAGTTAATTTGTTTAAGTGTAACATAGGATAATATTTTTTGTCTTTAATAATAGACTTTGGATGTTTAGGAATATAATATGTTTAGAAGGACAAGAAGAGATAAAAAGAATACCTGGTGTGTTGAGGGACTAATAATGATATTAATAACAGTAATAATTATAAATACGAACACAAGCAGACTTCACATATTAAGATGAATAAAAATAAGAACAAAATAGACGTTGAAAGTTCAAAAGGCTACACTTTGCTTTTCAGTCAATTAGATGGATGACGGACCTTGTTTGTATAAATCGTTGTTAGACACATTGATATTCAATAGGCGACATAATCCACCTTCATAAAGAAAATCATCAAGGAGACTTCTGAACTGGGTTGTAGTTTCACTGCAACGGCGGTTCACTGACAGTCTGTTCCACACGGTTGGGTAGCGTGAAGATGGCACAGGTATTCAGTGTTTGACAACGCTTTTACCAGTAACACCTTCTAATATAATTCGTACCCACGAGGAGAAATCAAAAGACAGAATCGAGGAGATCAGAAATTGTATTTGACGATTGCCAATATATCGGAATTATCTGATCTAATCTGGCTAGCGATTGCAGTAGCAGTTGAGCTCGGCGTTCCCACACGTGATCTGGTGCGGATGCACGACCAAGCGCCTTCAGCTAGATGAGTCCACTAAAACTAATCTGGTCAGCATCCAATGTCGAAAACTTACAGAGTTATTTCTTTTGGGGATTTATTTACCGCTACAAGCGAATAATGAAAAAATTCTGGCGTAAGTTTGTATAGGTCCTTGCAATCGCTAGAACATTCTCCTTATTGTGTAGATTGTGGGATGATATCATAGAGTATGAAGGAGTGGATGCCAAAGAGTAGGGAATACCGTCTATAAGCCGGTTGATAAAAACAAGGTTTAATTTGATACGCCTGATCCAGAGAGATCCTAATTTAAGTTATTGACATCTGGACAACTGGACAAACAGCACTACAAAGGTTCAATACAGCCTTCCTTCGAGATACTGACAAACTCAATAAATTCAAGATAGCTCTCAACAACAGGTTTCAAGTCTTGCAGGATCTACTGAAG